ATGCGTTTTTGCGCCAGACTTGATGCAATCAGATCGTTAACAGTATGAATGAATGGTTGTTGCTTTGCAGTTTAACACGAGCAACTCATGTACCTGTGTCTTGCTCTTTTCTTGCCCATCCAAGGAAATTTGCATATTTTTTTCGGAATTCCATGCATAAAATCTAGGGGCTTGTCATATTTTGTGGGGTAAAAACCTCTTTTGTGTTGCCTACTGGCGAATCTTTGGGCGAATGATGCCTCGGTACAGGGACAGATCACTTCCGATTAGTTTTTTTGGTTCGGGAAAAGAGGGATTTTGGAGGAATTTTTGTTGTTTACCTTTGCTACTGTACATTTTATAAGCTTTTTAATCAGTCTCGGAAAGGAATTTACTTTGTAGTTCGACCCTATTTACGGAGAAATATCGTCGAAGGAATCTATGCTAACCAGGAGCATTATCTGGATGTTCAGTTTCGGTTGCTTCGAGAAGATTTCATTAGTCCAATGCGCGACGGAATTGTTCTGTGGAAGCAGCGCAAAGGACAAGGTTTGCTTCGTTTATGTATTGGTAGTGATAAATAACTGAGTAGTAAGAAATCCCTGGTTGATACCATAAATTTGAGGTCTTGCAACAGCGTGATTTGAAGCGCCAAAAAATTCTTGCAAATTTTGCTGCCTTTTTTTTCTAGATATTTATTGTTTAATAACTTGAAGCTTAACTACAGTTTAAGAGCTTCAGGATTGACCTGGTTGCTACGGTCTACTTAAGACCCAACGCTATGGGGTGATACAGCAGAAATTTCTAGCATTGTTTTAGGCACCATTCAGTAATTTGATCCCTCTCTGTGTACATTTTCAACATCAAAACACCCCAGCAATTGGCAGAGTTGTGAAATTACGTAAAAATTCAATATAGTTAATGAATTTTCCTCAAATGTTCCTCATTATTTTTCAGAAGTGCTTATTTCGCATGCTGTAGACGCTAGAGAGCAACTGGATTTATTGGTGGTCAACGGTGTAACGGTTGAAGGTTCCCAACTGAAACGTAGCACTGGAGAAATCATTCGTTATGCTTCATTTCGGGTACATTTGCTTTTATTTAACTTAAATTTTAAAATTAAAAATAACTTCAAAATTAAAATAAATCAAATCAAAAATAACTTCCCAGGAAATGCAATTATTTTTGCTAACTGCTTTTGTTGTATGTGGTTTTTGGACGTAGGATATTTAGCGGCAAAATCGTTATTTCCGATTATCTCGACAGTCACATTGATAAGCCAGTTGTAGCACTCAGGTTGACCCTGGAACCCTAAATGGCGGAAGTGCGGTAAGATACAGAAACAGAAAATAGTACGTATGAGAAAAGAAGGTAAGAGTGAGATAAAACAATTTCGGTCCATTAAGTCATATACGTCTTAACTCAACACTGCGCGACAGGGCCTCGTCAGCAGTTTGCCCATTTCCCATTCAAACTTTGTCCATTCAA